CACCGAGGTATGTGCCTATGTGCGCCACCAGTAGAAACAAAAAACCTAGATATGATATATATATATTTTTTAAAGTTACCATAGGGATAATTACTCCAGCCAGGTTAGGCATTTTAGAACTCACTACTCAAAGAATTAAATTTTAAGTGTAAGAGAAATAAAAATTATGAAATGCATAGACCAGTCAAAACACTAAAATAACACTTGGAAAGAATAAAATTACAGAGAATATATGTGCATTGCAGGAAGTAGCAAGAAGTAACAACAATAATGCAAGTATGTGTTGGGAGGTGAGTGTGAAAGAGACTTGTGTGTAAGAGAGACTGTGTGTGTGTTGGCTGGTGGGAAAACCCATGCACTGTCTCCCTAAAATGCTTACTGAAAGCTCTCCTGCTCGGTCCTGAGCCCTGTTCTCTCTCCCCTCCCCCCCACTCTGTGAAGATGGGGTACATGGGGTGGGAGAGAGAGTGTGTGTGTGGGGTGGGGGAGAGACTGAGCTGGCTGCTGGGGAAATCTCAGAAAAAGTGCACTGTCTCTTTAAGAAAGGCACGCGCTCAGACCACAGCAGCTCCGAGTCCTCCTGAGCCAGGCTGTCCCCTCTGCCCTGGTCTGTGGAGATGGAGTACAGGGGAGGGGGACACCCTAACATCAGCACCCTTCCCCCCACTCTGCACAGCCAGCAGGAGGGTCCCAGGAGCAGCTGCAGGATGGAGCAACGTGGGGGGAAGGGCACCCGAACACATGCTGCTGGCTGTATGTGCTCTGCTGTCAGCTGGGTGCCACTTACATCTCTCCTGCGCGGCTGCCCAAGCGTGCAGCTTACAGGGAACAAAGAGCCCCAGTAATGTGTCTTTGTAATGCATTTGGCCGGGCAATGTTTACTTGCTGCCTTGAATGACCCCCGTAATGCTTTCTTCCTGAGTTTTAATTGTAGAGAGCTAATGTTCCTGCCTATAGCCACTGTTTGAATTTTAGCAGCAAATACCGTGTGCATGACACACAGACTCACTTTGTTTCAAAGACTATACTTTTAATTAAAAGGATAAAATGGCTTTTTTGTTTGTTTGCAAACAGGACATACCAGTGAGGAACAGTTTCTCAGTTAAGGCTCTCATAGCTGTAACTCCAGCTTTCATCATGAAACCAGTCTCTAGGGAGGGAGTGCAAGGGGTACATGCGAGGAATGTGTTGAGGGAATTTGGGGAGGGCATGGAATGGCGTTCTGTATTGGCTGCAGGGGGAGTCGTGTACAGATGTGCTCAGACTGCAGCGCTATAAGGGACTTGAGCATCTCTGTCTGGCCCTCCAGTAGCTTTATCATCCACTCCTGCTCCTGTCTCCTTTCCAGGCTGTCCAGTCTGAATTTGTCATTAACTGTCTCTCTCCACGCTCTTGTTTTGCTATCTGCTGTATCTGTTGACTGCAGCACTTTGTGAAACATATTGTCCTTACTTCTGCTGGTTCGCCTCCTTATCTGATGGAGGTGCTCCACTGCTGTGTAGGAGTTGGTCCTCAAGGACACATCTGCAGAAATCAAAGAAACAATGAACAGAGACAGTATTGTGAGTGCACACACAGCTGTGAATCACAAAAGTCACACACACCTCTCTCTCATTGTTCCTTGGCTAGCACACAGCTCGGCGAGAACCCCAAATATGGTGAGTTCAGTGGGGGAAGAGGGATTGGGCAAAAAGGGACAAAAGGTCTGGAGGTTTGCGAAGAGGGTCACTACATGTGCTTAGGGAGATATATTCTAAATTATTGCACTCTTTTCTGTAGGCTGGGGTAATCAAACCTGATATCTCACTCCTGAGGGTAACCTAGGATGCAAGGGTGCAGCTCCTGCACGCGTGCGGCTTCAGACAGGGTCCGTATGTTCGCCTGTGTGTCACTTTGGTTCCTGCAGAAATAATTGCCGGTTAGCATGGTAAAGGTTCCTACAGCATGGGGGAGAAACAAGGCAGCTCTGCCAAGGAACCTTAGGCAGAGGATTGCAGAGTACCTACAAGAAAGCTTCCTAGAGATCACTATGGAGGATTCCTGGGACAAACTTTTCCGCTGGTCCCCCACTGCATAGCTGTGTAGGCTCTGTTGTTAATTTCTACCCCTTATCCCTCCTCTGTCATATAACCAAGTAAATGAGACCGTAGTCTCCTATCCTCAGTGTGCATATCAAAGCAAAAGGCATGCTTTCCAGAGCTAGCCCCTCCTGCTTCAGGCACACCAGAGCCAGCATGCTGGGATTGGCAGACCCCTCCATAGTCAAAATTAGGTCCTGGCTTGTCACGTCACCAGACGACCCTATCACATGTCCCACGTCCCCCTTCTAGCTCCATTTCCTCATCCACCACTTGGTCTTCGGGGTTGACTGCTGGCTGTTGCCTCCAGTCCCCCGAAGTATCCACAGGGCTCTCGGTGGTGGCATTGGGTTTGCCACTGAGTATGGCTCGCAGCTTCACATAGGAGCAGCATGCCTTTGGTGCCACACCAGAGCGATGGTTGGCCTCCCTTGCCTTCTGGTATGCCTGCCTCAGCTCCTTGATCTCAGCATAGCACTGCTGTGTGTCCCTTTTGTGTCCCTTGTCCTGCATGCCACAAGTAATCAGCCCATAGATATCAAAATTCCTACAGCTTGAGTGAAGCTGCAACTGCACAGCCTCCTCTCCCCACAGATCCAACAGCTCTGGTGTACTCCAAGCAGGACCATATCTGTTGAGGAAAGCCAGCATGGTCAGCTGGGAACATGCTGTGTGAACAGTCCGTGCTGAGCAAACAGGAAGAGGAATTTCAGAAATTCCTGGGCCTAAATTCCATGGGCGCATGTCTGTGTAACTGCAGGGCAGCAGAGTTCAAACTGCTGACCAGGGCGGTCATGATGGACATTGTGGGACACCTCCTGGAGGCCAATTAGGGTGACATAAGTAAGCTCAGTGTCTCCACTGACGCTGCATCGCTCAGCGTCCCAAAAAGCTCTGTGATGCTTGTTGACGTGGTTTTATTTTGTTGGCATAACAGAGGAGTTACATCGGCGGAAGGAGCATTTCAGGGTGTACACCCCCACTGTTTTGTTGACAACAGCTAACTTTTGTCAACAAAACTCTGTAGTGTAGACAAGGTCTCCATCTTAATAAAATGTTGAGGTTTCTCTCATTTGGTGCACAAGACTACATAGGAATTTTTGTCTCCTTCACTGCATATTTAAATCGCTTACCAGAAAGCTCACCATACCTTTTCATAACATGAGACGTCAAGCCTTCTAAAACCTGGAAATGCTCAGTTAAGGCCTCAGCAGCATATATCTCCCCAAAAGCCTCCTGTTGCAAGAAATACTACACAGATTTCTACTCCCACAAGATAACCTGAATTCTGCCCTGTAGGAATGGCAATAGGAAACGTGAACGGAGTACCTTACTCCTCTCCATTTTCTCTCTGCTACCAATGCTCCAAATTAGGACTCCTGTTCAAACAGTCCAATGGGATCTTCAGTGTGGCCTGTGTACCAGCATTGATGTGGGGAGTAATGGCTGATGATTAACAGAAATCATACTGAGCACACTAAGCTGCTTCAGGTCTTTGCTTCCAGCAGCATAACCACAAATAGAGGCTAATGGTCCACTAGGGGATTTTGTACAGTGACTCTCCTGCCGTAAAGGGTGCCAGGTAGGGAGAAAATTATATATATCCCTGAAGAAGAGCTCTGTGTAGCTCAAAAGCTTGTCTTTCACCAGTAGAAGTTGATCCAAGAAAAGATATTACCTAATATCTTGGGACCAACACAGCAACATTTATCCCTGTGATACTTGTCCCAAGCACCTTCCCTTCCCTCTCTTCCTCTCCCCCCCCCGCATCTCTTTACCTACACACATTCACCAATTGACTCTACTCCCTCTTTCGCTTAACCAAACTATTCTCACGCTCCATCCCAGCTCAGAACAGCTTCAAACACCTGTCTCCCTGCTCAGAAACACCCCCTCTTGCCTCACTGGGAAACTCTAACACTTCCAGGCAGGAAGCACTACAGATGAGGGTTTATAGTAATCAAACATAGGATTGCTACTAACATGAAATTGCCATATCAGATTAAACGAGTGGTTCGCTATCCTGGTCAAAAGGTAACCAATACCAGACATTGCAGATTAAGGTGTGACCCCCTCATAATGGACATTAATAAAGTAACATGCCCTTACAGGACACTCTTTGCTCACACCAACCAATTGACTTACCTCGTAGGTACAAGGGTTTATGCATTTTACATTTGTATCTTATCTAATGTAACTGAATATTAGGCATCTATGTGAACAAGATGACATTTTGAATCCGACCAAGCTCAGACTCAGTATCTGGTGGAAGTGAATTCCATAGGTTGGCTATGTATATGTGAGGGTAGGAAGGATTCTGGAGCAGTTGTAAGAAAGCTTCAATAAGGGATTTTCCTGAATATGTTTGTGTAATCCTTGTTTTGTTTTTGAAAAGACATTTTAAAAAATTAGAAGAGGAAATGTATAAACTTTTTTTAAAAATAAACCCTCATTTTGAATTGGTCAGTTTTTTCTTTGCTGTAATATGTGATTGTTGTAGAGTTCTCGATGTAAGTGTATGGGTTATTTTTTGTGGGTGGTGGTGAAAGAAGGGAGCAGTGTTACAAAAATGGCCATCAAAACGCACCCACCTTACTTTATATTTAGTTAAAATTAATAAATCTAGTAATAAATCAAATCGGGTATTCTTTAGTGTGCAGTTGAAGCATGAAAAAAATCTAGTATATCCACAGCTGGCTACAAGTTGAAAATAAAAAACATTTAATGCAGATAACTACTTTTGCATTCACTTTAGAAGGATCTTGAGTCAGTTCACTTGATTTATTTAAACTGACCTGTTGAAAATCAGTTTTGGTCACTTGTGCATGTGCCTATTTAACCAGTTTTGTAAAAAATTACACTTTAGTTTGTTTCCAGAATGAATATCGGTCACAGTTCCTTCTTGTCTTGTCTTTTTTTTAGATCAAGCCTCAGAAGTGCAAGTGACAATGATGCTGACAGAAAGCTGTAAACTCCGAGGCCTTCATCACAGGTGAGTACTGCTACTTTCACTCTCACCATAAGAGGCTTTAAATTAAATTTATATCCATATGTATTGAAAATAATATTTAAGTGGCTTTTCAGTGCTAAAAATTTCAGAAACAAATCACTTCCCAACTTAAATGTACAATACTTCAGCCAAAAAATGTTGTTCAAAGTTATAAAAATCTGAAAAGACCCTTTAAGAATGAACACTAAAGTAAAGAGCATTTAGCATGCACCTTTTACCACCTCACAGTCCCATGAGGTGCTGCAGGCACTTACTCCAGAGACCATATAAATTAACAAGTTTGTTACATGTGCTGTCTTGCTGATGCTGAAGAAGGAAGCATATGTGCTGTCAGACTTGCATCCACACCCTGGTTATCTTCCAACCATAGCCAGTAACACAGTCATCACAAAATTCTGCCAATAATTCCTGTACACCACTGTGACATACAGATAGTCTGGAGTGTACCCTGGGTATCACCCCTGCCCTCTAATCTGGGGTGCCCTTTACACTCCTTTACTACTCCAGCCTCTAGTCTGGACTGCTCATAAACAGCCTCCAGCATGCAGGTCAATCCCAGCTATGTCTGTGTGTGCTGCAGCTAACCAGCCATGCTTTGGCTCTTGCTAGCCTTGATTATATTGTGGGATGACCCCAACACACCCCCAGTCCTAATTTCCCGCCAGAAATTTATGTCCTGTACTGCCCAGCCCTCTCCTGGATGGTACAAGCTTATTTAAAGACTGTCATTTTATTAATAGAAATTATATGCACACATCTTGTTATCCGAAAGAGAGTTTCCCAAACACTTCAGTTCAAACACACTGGGTTAGATAAAACAAGTTTATTAACTACAGAGAGAGCAATTTTAAATGAATACAAGTAATGAGTCCTAAACGTCAGAAATGGTTACAAGAAAAATAAAGATAAAATGCAACTAGTGCCTAACTTAACAAACTATGTTAAATTCAAAGCAAAGTTTCTTACCACGTGCTCTCAACAGTCTCACTGGACAAACTTCTTAGGCCAGGACCATTTCTGTTTAATGGCTGCTTCCTTTGTCCATATTCATGCAGTCAATCGATGAACGATGGGGAAGGTGGAGGTGCCTGGGGTTGTCTGCATCTTCTTATAGCCCTTTCCTTCCTTTGGGAAGTATTTCCAGCTGGGAGCAAGGAGAACAGGCAGTCTGTTTGGAAGGGGACTTTCCATGCTGTTTCTTTACTAAGATGTAGATTTTTTTTTTTTTTTTTGCCCCTTTTCTGCCAAAGAATGGCCGCTTAGTGAGTAGTTGGCCCATCAGCCTTATTTACACCTGTCTGAGGCATCAGTTTGCCCTTTGTCTCTTAGGCTAGGTCTACACTGCAGCGGTGTTCCGACCTAAGATACGCAACTTCAGCTACGTGAATACCGTAGCTGAAGTTGCGTATTTTAGGTCGGCTTACCTGGTGGTGAGGACGGGGGAAAGCCGACCGCTGCCGCCGACTCCGCTACCGCCTCTTGTCGAGGTGGATTTCCGGAGTCGACGGCAGAGCGATCAGGGATCGATTTTACCGCGTCCTCACGAGACGCGGTAAGTCGATCCCCGATAAACCGATTGCTACCCGCCGGATCGGCGGGTAGTGAAGACGTAGCCTGAGAAACTGGTTTGGCCATTCCCCAGACATCTCCGGAAAACTTACTGGCCAGGTCTACACTACAAAATTAAGTCAATCTGACTTATGTCAGCATACCGCTGCCACAGTAATTACGTCCCTTGTGCATTGTTTACACTTTGCTCCTGGTATTGATGGTGCACATCCTCACCAGGAGCGCTTGTATCAGTTGTACTGTCAGCGTAGTGCATTTGTGGGACAGCTCCTGAAAGCCAGTAACAGTCGATGTAAGCAATGCCAAACTACATCGACCTTGACTACACTGCTCATGGAGGTGGAGTTAAGTCAATGTAGTGGGGCAGTTCTGTCGGTGAGAGTGAAATTAAGTGTAGACACTTCATAGGTCGACATAAGTTGCCTTGTGTTGACCAAACTCTGTAGAGTAGACCAAACCTTAGGGCTGGTCTACACTACTACGGTAAATAGATCTAAGTTACGTGAATAACGTAACTGAAGTTGACGTAGCTACATCCACTTACCACAGTGTGTACACTGCGCTGTGTCAGTGGGAGATGCTCTCCCATTGATTTAGCATGTCGTCACCAGACCCATTAAATCAACACCACTGCATCGATCGCAGCAGTACCAATTTAGCCGGTAGTGTAGATGTGGCCTTAGTCATAATCTCAATTTATGTTTATAACATCACATATAATGCTGCTACATGCATATTGCCATGATATTATTGATCAGAAAATAGTTTTTAAATGATATCTCAGAAGGCATGCTTGGTACAAAGATTATTACAGTAGCATATATAGGGTGTGGATTCGGGTACATTCTGTCACCACCTATACTTCACGCTATTAAGTATTCTTGCATATCAAGAGATAAATCCTGCCAATAGTGTTATGACAATGATCAACAAGGAGTAGAATGGATGCAAAAAAAAATATAAGCCTCCAAGCAGTACTATGTGTTGCTAAATAGGAAGCATCTAGGATGTAAGAATGCTTAATAGCATGGGTGTAGTGTACATGAATTATTGTCATGATTTTGTGGGGTCTGTATTTAAGGGAGTTATGTACGTCATCCAAGACAATCTCCATTCACTGGGGTTTGAGATGTCACTGAGGGCTTCGTTTGGTCTTCAGAATCTTTAACTGGTAATAGCAAGTGAGCAGGAAGGAACCCAGTTTGACATTCAAGTCTCACGTATTGGCAATTGAGCAAACTTGTAATCTGAAGGAGTTTGATATGGAAATCATTGAAACACAAACAAGATCCACATTGCCTTTTTAAATCACTTTTCTTTGCAGAGTCATGCTTAATTTAAAGTTCTAGTTTATGGCTAAAAAGAGAGATTGGATTAAAGGAAATAAAATAATGCTTCCCATGAAAATGCTCAAATGTATCAGTGTAAAAGTATATTTGCTTTCTTCTGTCCTCTCCCCCAATCTGATTTCTGTTTAGATTGTAAACTTTTTCTGGGGAGGGGCTCTTTTTTTTACACACACACGCACGCTCGCTCTCTCTCTTGGATCTGGGATGCTGAAACAGATTTTAGAAAGAGGGCTTTGGAATTTGCATTACTATATAAAGTAATTACTAGTGCTGGTTGAGAATTTTGTAAATGACTTTTGCATAGTAAATTGGGGAAAACTGAAACAAAATATTATGTGGGTAGCTTTGACTAAGATTAAAATTGTTGAACAGAACCAAAACACTTTATTTAAGTCAGTTCAGCATTAAACTGGATCTGCTGTTTTGCATGATGAATCTTAGGAGATTCAGCCAGCCCGTAATAACACAATAGCTTCAGCACCCATAAATCCCCGCAGCACCACAGGCAGATGAGTTTAAAATTAAGCTGACTCAGGCCTGGTCTACACTAGGCTTTTATGTCGAATTTAGCGCCGTTATATCGAATTAACCCTGCACCCGTCCACACCACGAAGCTATTTAGTTCGACATAGAGCTCTCTTTAAATCGATTTCTGTAAACCTCCCCAACGAGAGGAGTAGCGCTAAATTCGACATGGCCATGTCGAATTAGGCGAGGTGTGGATGGAATTCGACGGTAATAGCTCCGGGAGCTATCCCACAGTGCACCACTCTGTTGACGCTCTGGACAGCAGTCCGAGCTCGGATGCTCTGACCAGCCACACCCCGGGAAAATTTGAATTCCTTTTCCTGTCTGGGCAGTTTGAATCGCAGTTTCTGTTTTGACACCGTGGCGAGCTCAGCAGCAGTGGCAACGATGCAGAGCTCTCCAGCAGAGATGGCCGTGCAATCTCAGACTAGAAAGAGGGCCCCAGCATGGACTGATCGGGAAGTCTTGGATCTCATCGCTGTGTGGGGAGATGAGACCGTGCTTTCCGAGCTGCGCTCCAAAAGACGGAATGCAAAGACCTATGAGAAGATCTCTAAAGCCATGGCAGAGAGAGGATACAGCCGGGATGCAACGCAGTGCCGCGTGAAAATCAAGGAGCTGAGACAAGGCTACCAGAAGACCAAAGAGGCAAACGGACGCTCCGGATCCCAGCCCCACACATCCCGTTTCTACGAGGCACTGCATTCCATCCTAGGTGCGGCCGCCACCACTACCCCACCCCTGACCGTGGACTCTGAGGATGGGATATTGTCCGCGGCCGGTTCCTCAGCGGACGGTGAAGAGGAGGAAGGAGATGAGGAGGACGAGGCAGTCGACAGCGCTGATTTGCCCGACAGCCAGGAGCTCTTCATCACCCTCACAGAGATCCCCTACCAACCCTCCCCAGCCGTTATCCCAGACACAGATTCAGGGGAAGGATCAAGCAGTAAGTGTTTTAAATATCTAAACATTTATTTATAACATAACTGGCATATTTCAAATATTAACAATAGGTAAAGTGCTTTAAAACATGTAAACATTTATTTACAACAAAACAGGAAGATTTAAAATATTAACAGTGGGTAAAGTGCTTCAAAACATGTAAACAGGAAAGTCCAACAAAACGGGAATCTGTGCAAAGTGTATCATGATTAGTCTGTCTTTGGGCGCTTCAATATATAGTCTATTTTCAAAAAATTTCACAATGTCCGCTTCATGATTATAATGCCCAAAACGCTGCACTCTTCTGTCCCTCCAAGGGCACCTAACCCAAAACCTGGTCAATGTATCCGGGGATAGAGGCGACATCCTCCGGGGAGAACTCCTCATAGGTCTCCTGCAGGTGTTTTTCAAGCCTCATGAGCAGGTTCCTGGGCAGGGAGAGCTTGTTAGGCCCCCCGTGGTATGAGACGTTTCCCTGCCACAACGCCAGCAGGTACTCGGGGATCATGGCCTTGCAGAGCATTGCAGCAAATGGCCCCGGTTTCTGCAGGCTGTCACGAAGCATCCGCTCCTTCTGGCTCGCAGAGACCTTCAGGAGGGTGATGTCTGGCATGACTCCCTGCTGTGAATTAGGTAGGGGAAAGTTAGTATTGGGACTGCTTGCCCGTCCCTTTACAGAACTGCAACCGCCGGTTTACAGCCACGCGGTTTACAGCCGCGAGGGGGTGGGACAGGGCCAGAGTTCATGCTTGCAGGATTGCTGCCAGCAGAGACTCGCATTGCTTTCTATGCGAAAGGAGGCCAGTGCCACTCTTAAAGTTTTAAGCAGCCACAAGTCTACGGCTTACCATGTTTGACAGCTAGACAAAGTCCGGTGTCCTGCCCTGCTCCTCAGCTCGCCACAGCAAGACCGCAGGCACGGTAGGCGAGGGCCGAAAATTCGACCTTGTCCTCAGTGCGCGTGTGATAGGTGCTCTGCATGGTCTTGTTCACAGAGAAAGACTATGTTCTCTGTTCACAGATACATTGATCTGTCTCAGGAATTCACTCGCTTTTTCCAATTCCCACAGCCACATCTGCCCAGAGGCTAGCGCACATTAGGAGGAGGAAGAAGAGGACACGGGAAGACATGTTTGCTGAACTAATGGCATGCTCCCGAGCACAGGCAGCCCAGCAGACACAGTGGAGGGAGAACTTGTCCCAAATGCACCGGGCAAACATTGAACGGGAGGAGAGGTGGCGACAGGAGGACAGGCAGGCTACTCAAACGCTGCTTGGACTAATGAGGGAGCAAACGGACACGCTCCGCCGCCTTGTGGATGTTCTGCAGGACCGGAGGCAGGAGGAGAGAGCCCCGCTGCAGTCTCTCTCTAACCGCCCTGCCCCGCCACCAAGTCCCATACCCCCCTCACCCAAAGTCCAAACACGGAGGGGCGGAAGGGGCCGTGAAAAATTTCACTCTACCCCTGCGGACTGCTCTACCACTAGAAGGCTCTCATTCCCCAAAATTTGAAAAGTCCTTTCCTACCCGCCTCACACAAGACCCCGTCCAAGTTTCACCCCCCCCGTTCCATGTGCGGTTGTTAATAAAAAGTACGTTTTTGTTCATTATTGTTTCCATCCTCTTCTTTTAGATGAGAGTCTGTCTGAAGGGGGGGGAAGGGGCTTGGTAATTGGACAGGACAGTCACCTTTAGCAGGGGGCAGGTCCAGCAGCAGGGCACATATACAGTGCAGTGACTAGTTATCCTGGTCAGTCTGGGAGGTGGTTTTCATGTTCTGTGTGGTGGTGGAGGGGGGGGTGTTGCTCTGTGACTTGGTGGCGGGGGAGGGCAGTTACAGATCTTATGCAGCGGTCCTTACCCTGGATCACAGAGCCGCGCAGCAGGGGATCTGTAACCCTCCTCCCCCTGCAAGACAGTCACATAGCCGACACATACACGCAGTCCCGGCCAGGAGGGCTGGCAGGCTCCGTTGAAACAACCAGTCCACCACCGCGGAGCCTGTCATTCCTGGAGTTTAGAAGCATCATTTGCATCACAACACTAAACCCGCCCCCCGCCACAGTCTGCGTCCCAGGTTTAAAACATTCCCGCGAAAACAGTAATAAAGACAACGGTGTCCATTAACAAAACAGAACAGATTTTATTTTTTGGGAAGGGGGTGAAGGGGGTATGTAACTGGAGAGGATAGTCGACGGCAACTGGGTAAAGAAATGGGGGCAAGTTCAGCTTCTGTGTCCACAAACTTAAAAGTCACTGGGTACCCTGCTCAGCCTTGAAACTGGCTTTCAAAGCCTCCCGTATGCACAGCGCGTCCCGCTGGGCTCTTCTAATCGCCCGGCTGTCTGGCTGGGCGTAATCAGCAGCCAGGCTATTTGCCTCAACCTCCCACCCCGACATAAAGGTCTCCCCCTTGCTCTCACAGAGATTGTGGAGCACACAGCAAGCTGCAATAACGATGGGGATATTGGTTTCGCTGAGATCACAGCGAGTCAGTAAGCTTCTCCATCTCCCCTTGAGACGGCCAAAAGCACACTCCACCACCATTCTGCACTTGCTCAGCCGGTAGTTGAAGAGTTCTTGTGCAGTGTCCAGGGCCCCAGTATAGGGCTTCATGAGCCAGGGCATTAGCGGGTAGGCTGGGTCCCCGAGGATCACCGTAGGCATCTCCACATCCCCAACAGTTATCTTGTGGTCCAGGAAGTAAATGCCTTCCTGGAGCCGTCTAAACAGACCAGAGTTCCTGAACACGCGAGCGTCATGAACCTTGCCCGGCCATCCGACGTAGATGTTTGTAAACCGTCCCCGATGGTCCACCAGTGCTTGCAGCACCATTGAAAAGTAGCCCTTTCTATTGATGTACTGGCTGGCCTGGTGGCCCGGTCCCAGGATCGGGATGTGAGTCCCATCTATAGCCCCACCGCAGTTTGAGAATCCCATCGCAGCGAAGCCATCTATGATGGCCTGCGCGTTTCCCAGGGTCACTACCTTTGACAGCAGTACCTTGACGATTGCCTTGGCTACTTGCAGGACAACAACCCCCACGGTAGATTTGCCCACGCCAAAGTGGTTCGCGACTGACCGGTAGCTGTCCGGCGTTGCAAGCTTCCAGAGGGCTATGGCCACTCGCTTCTGGACAGTCAGGGCTGCTCGCATGCGGGTGTCCTTGCGCTTCAGGGCAGGGGACAGCAACTCACAAAGTTCGAGGAAAGTCCCCTTCCGCATGCGAAAGTTTCGCAGCCACTGGGATTCATCCCAGACCTGAAGCACTATGCGGTCCCACCAGTCCGTGCTTGTTTCCCGGGCCCAGAATCGCCGTTCAACAAAATCCACATGCCCCATTGCCACAGTGATGTCCTGGGCGCTGGGGCTCGTGGTTTCTGACAGCTCTGTGCTACTCTCCGACTTCAGGCACTCACGCCAGTGCCGTAGCCTCCTCGCCTGATTTCTCTGCATCTGCCTCAGGGAAAGGTGTATGATAAGCTGCGAGGTGTTGAGAACGGCCACAACTGCAGCGATGGTCGCAGCGGGATCCATGATCGCAGTGCTGTGGCGTCCGCGCTGTCACTGATCAAAAAGTGCGCGAACTGATTTCCCGCCGGCGCTTTCAGGGAGGGAGGGAGGGAGGAAGGGCGGCAGTGACTGACGGATGCCGACAGTTACCCAAAAGCACCCTCGCCACATTTTTTTACCCAGAAGGCATTGGAGGATCGACCCAGAATTCCAATGGGCGGCGGGGACTGCGGGAACTGTGGGATAGCTGCCCACAGTGCACTGCTTCCAATGTCGACGCTTTCCCTGGTAGTGTGGACTGACAAAGTCGAATTACTGTCCTTAGTGTAGACACATACGTTCGACTTTCTAATATCGATTGCACATATTCGATTTAACTAAAATCGAACTACTCTCGTAGTGTAGACATACCCTCAGAATGCAACATTTTGATTTGGCACTTCCAACCCATTGTTTTTCAGACTTTTGTTCCATGAAAATATTCAAATGTTGACTTTCCTTCCTTGTGTAGGACAAATGTCAAACTATCGTTTTCCAGCAAAATGGAAATGTCAATTTTTTGCTCAGTTCTATGAACTATGCTTACTGTAATATAATGGAATCTGTAACATGTATAGGTGCATTTTAAAGAGATGGATACATTTCCAAACTGAAGATACACTCGTAGTTTGTGTAAAGAATAATCTTCAGTGGGATTTTATCTTTAATCAGCTTTGGATCATGCAAAAGTTTTTTTTCTTGATGGAAAACTGCTCAGATGTTTGCACACATTCCTAAACATGTAGCTTCAAGTTATTTGGAGACCTTGTTACTTTATTTTGTTAAATAATCTATTGCCTTTTCTACTGTACTTCTATTTATCATTTATAGTGGGTTCTTTTGTTTAGATGACTTGCTAACTTTGATCAGATATCACCTTTCTAAAATTTAGGAGCATCTGCTCTCATCTTTCAGGAACCTGCTCCCTATCACCCATGTCAGTATAGAAGATGGGGAGAAACCCATGGTGCTGCTGCCTTTCATGAACTGGGGGAACCTTAAGCTGTTCCTGCGCCAGTGCAAGTTAGTAGAGGCCAACAATCCTCAGGTAAGAAACGTCTAATTTAAAAACTCAATGTTTTAGTTGGTCGAACTTTGTTCAGACTTTAAGATCCAGCTGTGGAGACAGTACAGGGATGACTTTTCCAGAGTTGAATGAATTGGAAAGCCTATTACGTAGTTGAAACTTAAAAGCAGACATGGGAAGTGTATATTTTGTGGTTCACAAGAAAAAGTAATTTTTCTGTGCATTTATCACAGACAGTTGTTGACTCCAGTGTCTTATTGATTACAGCAACTCCCTATTTTTACTGTAAATTGGGAGTGTTACATTAAGCATTTGTTTCACTTTGCATTCTGTCTGTTTTCAGATTAATATTTTACAGCTGAACATCACAGGTTCTTTTAAAATGTTATGATAGTTTACTTGCCTAAGGACCTATGGTGTTAGTGAAGTGCTGTTAAAATTTGTAGAGCAAGAATAAGAATTTCAAATATAGGAGTCTAAAATTAGGTTCCTAAATCAGTAGTTAAATATCTGCCTGGTTTTCAAAAATTCTGAACACCAAACAGCTTCCTTCCATTGCCTTATGCATCTTCTTGGCTACATGGTATCCGCAGGTCATGTGCATCTTGGAAGTGAGGCAGCACTGTGTTGTAACTCAATCTGTCAGTGTGACCCCATCTCCTAAGGTGTGTCTTGAAAGCAGCAGTTCTTTGTAGGAGCCTTGCCTCATTCACTGTGTTCGGTGAGGTAACTCCATAGGCACCCTTTACATCCCTGAGTGCACTCCTTACATGCTGTATGCATTGTGGTTGTCTAACCAAATAGCTTGAGTATGGGGTATTTCCTCCTTTTTCTCAGAAAAACTTCTAGGAAACTTTGTTAAGAAAATGTTAATGTTGCAGTTTCTCACTCCACCCAGAAATGCCAAAGTTAAGACTATACTGCAACCTGAACTCCACTTCCTAATGTGTGAGCACTGCTGTAATCTTCGATTACGCAGCTATGTACTATTTCTGACATAATTCAGTATCACACTTCTTTTCATGCATATATTATACATTAATATCTGTAATAGGCTATGTGTCTAACATACACAGAACTGCACAGTGGAAGATGCTACAGAGGTATATCATTCTTAACTTTTTAAAAAATTGTTTGAGAAAACAAAACAGACGGTAGAATTAAATTATAATGCACGCACACAAAGGGGGGGTTAGTTGTGCACAACTTTAACTTTTGACAATTCTTTAATTTTGGTTACTTAACTGTGCATACTTAATGTTTTATTGATATTTAATGCACTTGTTATAAGTTAATCATAACACTTCCATTAATGGTCTTAATTTTTGAAGTTCTTTGTTAATGTTTTTAAAAGAAAATCTTAAGGAAACTTCAGCAAATTGGAAGTGAATTAATCTTTTTATCTCTATTTCCTTTACCTGTATCATATAGTTGGGGGGAGGGGGAGGGGAAGAGTGTGGAACCTGTACAATTTACCAAAAGTGCTTGCTTAATGTTACTAAATTGAATATAATGATTTATTGGCAACTGTCATGTTTTTTTGAGATGGGCAGTGAGGACTGATCGGATTAGGAGAAACACAAATGAGAAGTATACAATTTAATTTGAGGTTGGGGACCTTTTCTACCCGAGAACTTACTGTCGTCCAAGATTGAACATTTTAATAGTGTTTGTGCTACTGAGATTTATAGTAAATGTTAAGGCTGTCGATTAATCGCAGTTTTAATCGCACTATAAAACAATAGAATACCAATTGAAATTTATTAAATATTTTGGATGTTTTTCTACATTTTCATATATATTGTATTCTGCATTGTAATTGAAATCAAAGTGTATATTATTTTTGTTACAAATATTTGCAGTGTAAAAGATAAACAAAAGAAATAGTATTTTTCAATTCACCTCATACAAGAACTGTAGTGCAATCTTTGTTGTGATAGTACAACTTACAAGTGTAGACTTTTTGTTGTTACATAACTGCACTCAAAAACTTCAGAGCCTACAAGTCCTACTTCTTTTTCAGCCAATCGCTAAGACAAACAAGTTTGTTTACATTTACGGGAGATAATGTTACCCTCTTCTTATTTACAGTGTCACCAGAAAGTGAGAACAGGCGTTTGCATGGCACTTTTGTAGCTGACATTGCAAGGTATTTACGTGCCAGATATGCTAAACATTCATATGCCCCTTCATGCTTTGGCCACTATTCCAGAGGACATGCTTCCATGCTGATGAAGCCCATTTAAAAAAAAAAAAAAGTATTCATTAAATTTGTGACTGAACTCCTTGGGGGAGAATTGTATGTCTCCTGCTCTGCCATATATTTCATGTTATAGCAGTCTCAGATGATAACCCAGCACATGTTGTTCATTTTAAGAACACTTTCACTGCAGATTTCACAAAACGTAAAGAAGGTCCCAATGTGAGATTTCTAAAGATAGCTACAGCACTTGACCCAAGATTTAAGAATCTGAAGTGCCGTCCAAAATCTGAGAGGGACGAGGTGTGGAGCATGCTTTCCAGAGTCTTAAAAGTGCAACACTCCAATGTGGAAACCACAAACCCCAAACCACCAAAAAAGAAAATCAACTGTCTGCTGGTGGCATCTGACTCAGATAATGAAAACGAACATGCGTTGATCCGCACTACTTGGGATTGTTATTGAGCAGAACCCATCATCAGCATGGACGCATGTCCACTGGCCTGGTGGTTGAAGTATGAAAGGGCATATGAATCTTTAGTGCATCTGGCATGTAAATATCTTGAGACACCGGCTACAACAATGCCATGAGAACACCTGTTCTCGCTTTCAGGTAACATTGTAAACAAGAAGCAGGCAGCATTATCTCCTGCAAATGTAAACAAACTTGTTTGTCTGAATGAGTGGCTGAACAAGAAATAGGAGTGAGTGGACTTGCAGGCTCTAAAATTTTATATTGTTTTATTTTTGAATGCAGTTTTCTTTGTATATAATTCTACATTTGTAAGTTCAACTTTCATGATAAAGAGAATGCACTACAGTACTTGTATTAGGTGAATTGAAAAATACTATTTAGTTTGGTTTTTTACAGTGCAAATACTTGTAATCAAAAATAAATATAAAGTGAGCACTGTACACTTTGTATTCTGTGTTGTAACTGTAATCAATATATTTTAAAATATAGAAAACATCCAAAAATATTTAAATAAATGGTATTCTGTTATTGTTTAACAGCGCGATTAATTGCGATTAATTTTATCACGATTAATTTTTTAATCGCTTGACAGCCCTAGTAAATGTTAATCATCTAATACAGAAATGAAATGGAACAAAACACTTTGTAAGCGGAAAATCTGAATGAAAAAGGATTTATCAACCACAGCAGACGCATGCCTGTGTATTTTGTTAAGATAATTTTCCATCATGCTCCTCTTAATCTTTCTCTCACAACACTGCCTGGCTTTCTCTAGATGATTGACTTGTCACTTACTTTATTTTTATGGGCTATCTGGTTCACTGGGGTCAATAAGTCATCCCTGCTTTGTACACTAAGTACCAAGCAGTCAAGGGCTTTCTTCCTGTTAATTTGCAGAGGTACTGTACTGTGAGCAACTGTGGGACTATGATTGTGTCTGCTTTTGCTTTGTGGCTTGATCTCTAAATTGCAAATGTCTACAGACTGATACTGTCTCCTTCCCAGGCATCCAGATATTAGCCCATCTGATGGAGTTTGTGTTCTGAATATTCACATAGGACTCGCTGTCCGTGTGCCAAAGAAAGTCTGCAGGAAAACACTAATCCAGTTTGATAACCGTTCATGTACTATTGCTTTAAGGCCCTGTTAATCCAAACAGACAGTGTTTTCACAACTGACTTGTATTAACTAGCTTTGACCATATTTTCTTTTAATGTAAAATAAAGTAAGAAAGTGGGAAATACTTAACACCATAAAACCTGAGTCCTTCGTTAAGAGTGGCATTCCTCCTTCACTCATTCAAATACTTTAAAACAATTAATTTAGTAAACTCCAATTTAGCTGGCATACTTCTGTTTTCTCATCATTATCTGTGACTTACTGCATTAAATATGACCAGTACAACGTTGCTTATGTCATTTGATATTAGATTCAATTTATTTTATTCTGCCTCAGATTTTCAATGTTACTACAGAACTTTGTATAGAAATTGCATAACTGTTGCAGAAGTTATGAACTGAGCACCTGAAGCACACATCTGTGGGAAGCGGTGGATTCTGCAGTGAATTCTGCAGAATACATAGGGCCCTGGCAATGGTATAATACTAAATCAGTGTCCGTATCCCAAAGCAGGCTACAGGAAGTAGTAAATATCTCAAATCGCAGACAACATGCAGTAACATCATGTTTGCACATTATATATTACATTTTAAAATTAAACACTCTCACTACAAAGCTCCCCATTAATTAACACTGACAAAATTACAAAGGGATATGGAGCAAAGGGGTTGAGACTTGCAGTCTCCAGCATTGGATAGGAATTATAAATTTGAGGCTGCTGCTCCTTTTATATACTTGAAAAAAGAACAGGAGTACTTGTGGCACCTTAGAGACTAACAAATTTATTAGAGCATAGAAAGCTTATGCTCTAATAAATTTGTTAGTCTCTAAGGTGCCACAAGTACTCCTGTTCTTTTTGCGGATACAGACTAACACGGCTGCTACTCTGAAACCTGTCTTTATATACTTGGTTGTGGTCTGTTCCTTGAAAATGAGTGCTGCTTTTGTGAGTAATATGCAGAGAAGTGTATAGCAGGGTGGCTGAAATTTTGGTGGATCCAGATGCCATTTTGTCTCAGTCCATCCCTGATTTATGTGAAAAACTGGTGACAAGGAAAATGAAAGCTAGGAAATATTTCAAAGCCAATTTACAGCTAAAAATAAGACATTTTCAGAAATTAAGGGTTAAGTATTTTAAATAAGTATCAAGAAATACCAGGGAGCAATGACGATGTGTCCTGAAGAATGAGTGGTTGCAGATAGTTTTTATAAATGAGATAAAATATGGAAACGAATATTAAAATTGAGAAAAAATACTCTACATGGCAGACACTCAACTCTCTATTTGTAGGATTTTGTGATGTTAATAATTTTTCTGTGCTGTTGCAGGCAATTTCCCAGCAGGATCTTGTTCATATGGCTATTCAGATTGCCTGTGGAATGAGTTATTTAGCCAGAAGGGAGGTCATTCACAAAGACCTGGCTGCTAGAAACTGTGTGTAAGTACTGTGTCTTAAAGGACTATTATGGAGCCAGATTGTACCCTGTCTATGGTTATGGCTGAGATGTGCTTTCCATTATAAATCTGATTTTTCCCACCTCAAACCACATCCTCAGATGTTTCAAATGCTGCACGTGTGGTCTGTGGCCAGCAGATAGGTTTGTGTCCAGATATGAAGTGAATCAGATGAACTGTTTTTGAGATGGGATGCAAAAAAAATAAGTTTTAATTGTGTTTTGAAAACTCTTAATGTTTTGGTTTTTTTGTCTGATCATGTCTCAATGTTTCTTACATTTCAAGTTTAAAAGGACTTGGTGAGATCTAGTACACTGTTTAGATTGAGGCCTGGTCTACACTGGGGGGGGAGGGAGGGAGATCGACCTAAGATATGCAACGTCAGCTACGAGAATAGCGTAGCTGAAGTCAACGTATCTTAGGTTGACTTACCTCGCGTCCTCACGCTGCGGGGTCGACTGCCGTCGCTCCCCCGTCAACTCCGCTTCCGCCTCTCGCCGCAGTGGAGTACATGAGTCGACGGCAGAGCGATCGGGGATCGATCACTACCCGCCGATCCAGCAGGTAGTGTAGATGTACCCTTAGCGTATGAGAAGCTTTTCTCTGGCACATCAGGAATATCAGAATGGTTTGTTTGTCCCTGGTAGACTTCTTAAAATAGCCAAATGATTAATTGAAACGTTACCTTTCATTTAAAGGAAGAGAAGAGCAGGTCTCGAAACAGTTGCCTTGTGGGGAGAGCCCTCAAAATGTAAAATAAAAAAGTCACAGCCTGCCCTGCTCCCCTTTACGTTCCCCAAAAAGTCTGATCTGATTTCCCCTTGATTAGAAACCCAGAAAATTCAGAGTTGAGATTAAATTTAAATAAGTATTTGAAGGCATAGAAAGGAACAGTTAAGGCCCCCCCCTTCCCCCTCCAGCAGCAGTTGTAACTCTTGGAGGATTGCTACAAAGGCAGTTTAATAAGTGAGGCAACTTTTGTCCATCCATAACTGACAACTTCGCCCCTCACTGTCCACAAAACCTAATGCTTTAGCCTTAACTGTATGGTGTTTGCACTGACTCCAGCTTTCTTTATGGCGATACATGGTCCACAGAGAGCCACTTCAAAAATTCCCGATAAAACAGTCATTCCTCAGTCTTCACTGAAATTCCAGTTTCTGTAAATAAGTAGCTTTAGATGCAGAGCTAGTATAGGCTTGGATTATGAAATTATGTCACTTGGGTAAAAAGATGTCAGTGTAATAACTAAGCACCATGCCAAGAATCCAAGACGTGTGTGAAAGTGATTATGAAACTAATGCTTTGTGGTTCACATTTTTGATACTCTATCCACAAGCTATACAAACACATATCCAGACTTGAAATGTTTGAAATCTATCTGCAGAAATCTCAAGAGCCCTTATGAGTAAAAGTTGGAGAAGATGGTAGCCTGTGGTCACTATTACACAGTATTTTTCCAGATTCAAGATGTTTAAGCCTTGAAAAAAATTGAAAGAATAACACTGGACTACCAGAAAGATCTATTAACATTGGAAAAAATACAGGGACGGACAACCAAAATTAATAGGGGTATGGAACAGTTTCAATATGAGGAGACGGGACAGCTCTAGGCACCAGCAAAGCAAGCATGTGCTTGGGGCGGCACATTTCCGGGGCAGCATTCTGGCCATCCTTTTTTTTCGGGGCAGTTGCACTCTCGGAGCTGCGCCACTTAGACGGGGCGAGAGCGCCGCGCCCCCAGCAGCAGCGGGAAGGGGAAGCCCCTGCCCCGGGATGCTGAGCTGCCAGGGCCCAGCCGCTACCTGGGGAGGAGAGGGCAAGTCCTGCTGGGGAGAATCATAGAATATCAGGGTTGGAAGGGACCTCAGGAGGTCATCTAGTCCAACCCCCTGCTCAAAGCAGGACCAATCCCCAACTAAATCCTCAAATTGCCCCCTCAAGAATTGAACTCACAACCCTGGGTTTAGCAGGTCAATGCTCAAACCACTGAGCTATCCCTCCCCCGGAGCTGCGCTGCCTCATCCGCGCACTGGCTGCTGTACTGGCTTGTGCCACCCCTTATATCGGGGCTTCTCTGCATGGCCGGGCGGGGGAGGGGGTAAAGCCCCTGCAGGCGCTGGGAGAAGGTGACATCACTCCCTCCGCTTCCAGCGCTGCCTGCGAGCCCCAGCCCCACCTGAGCTTGGGGCGGCAAATTTTTTGCTTGGGGCAGCAAAAAGCCTAAAGCCGGCCCTGTGAGGAGAGATTAAAAAGACAGATTGTTCATCTTGGAAAAGAGACAACTAAGGGAAGATATGGTAGAGGTCTATAAAATCATGAATGGTGTGGAGAAAGTGAATAGAGAAGTGCTGTTTACCTCTTCACATAACACAAGAACCAGGGGTCACCCAATGAAATTAATAGGCAGCAGGTTTAAAACAAACATAAGGAAGTACTTCTTCACGCACCATGCAGTCACCGTGTGAAACTTGTCAGGAGATGTTGTGAAGGCCAAAAGTATAACTGAGTTCAAAAAAGAATGTTAAATTCATGGAGGATAAGTTCATCATTGGCTATTAGCCAAGATGGTCAGGGATGCAACCCCATGCCCTAGGTGTCCCTAAATAACTGACTGTTAGAAGCTGGGACTGGATGTTGGGGTGGATCACTTGATAAAGTTCTTTGTTCTGTTCATTCTCTTTGAAGCATCTGGCACCATCTGCTGTCAGAAGAGAGGATAGTGGGCTTTGGGGACCATTGGTCTGACCTAGTATGGCCATTCTTATGTTCTTATGAAAGTAAAGCAAGTCATTAAGGAAGATAAATAACACTGTAGAGAAAAGACATGATTTCTTTGTATTGATCTCTACCAGAGGATATTGAAAAGAGTAGGCGTCTCCTCAGGTACTATCAGTGTGAGATGTCAAAAGAGGAGGAGCTGAAGTAACTTTAGAAAGAAGTGGCTCAAATGTTAACAAATATGTACAATCTTGACCTTGATATAATCTATTATATTGGAGGGTAGCAAATGTTGCAGTATCTTTAGATAGGCATAAAAGGTGATCCTCGTAGTGCCTCACTTAATTACCAAGATAATTGGTTGACACAAGAATTAAAAATAGAATTATAAAACAAAGCATTATGAAGTCACCTGTTTGCAACTCCATAGTTAGTGTTCTGTTCTAAAGTGGATTTAATTCCTGATTTTTCTCTAAGAGTAGGTTTCCAACCTGTGTGAAGTTTAGTTTTTTGTTCTTTGAATTGAGGTGCCTAAAATCAAGTCACTTCTGAAAATTTAGGTCGCTGTGTTCAATTCTGGTCACTATATCTCAAAAAGGATAAAACAGAAATAGATGGAGTTCAGAGGCATGTGACATGATATTAAAGGTACTGAATATCTCCCATATGAAGAGATATTGAAAAGATTGGGACTGCTTATGTTAGAGCAGAGATGAATAAGAGGCTATGTGACAGAGGTATGCTCAGTAATAAATGGTGTAGAGAAGATAAATCAAGAATTTTTACTTACCCTTCCTCATAAGAACAAGAGGATATTCAATTAAATTGAAAGGCAAATTCAAAATTGATAAAAGGAAATTTAAACAAAGCATAGTTAGTTTGTGGCTCTCATTTCCACAAGATGTCGAGTTTAGCAGGATTTGCAAAAGGATTAGACACATAGGTGGATTATCAGAATATCCACAGTTAGAGGATTTTTAAAAAGTTTGGAAGGGATACAAAACTCTCACGTTGAAGAGTGTAAATTAGCCTGCAAGTGAAGAAACTTCGCTGCTGTAAGTAGGTTCTTCCATAACTGGCTGCTTCAGGCTTTCTTGCACTTTTTCTGAAGCATCTGATACAGACAATTGTCAGAGGCAGAATACCCATTAGATGGAACCTTTGTTTCATCAGATATGAGAAATCCTAAATTACTATCCTGTAAAATCGGTCTGTAAGGATACAAGAAGGGAATTGGGAAAGTTGGTTGTTAAAGGGACAGAGAAAGTTGTTGAGTATTTTAACTGGACATTTCCCCATTTTAAAACAGTTTGGTTTTATTTTATGTCTGAGACTTCTGGCTTTCTATTGCTCATCTTTTCATAGCCAAAAATAATTTTGAAATCACTTTATCCTGAAGTTAACTGATATGTACTTAGTGGTAATGGCAGCATATCAGTGTCATGATCTGGGAAAATGTTAAGCTTTAAAACGTTGGTAACAAATGTTCAAGCTCATCTGTGAAGTCCTATATATACAATATTTTTAAAAGATGCAGTAACGCAACTATAAATAATACATATGTTGCATAACCAAATGCTCTTATTGTCTTTTAATCAGCATTGATGATGCACTTCAGGTCAAGATTACAGACAATGCGCTATCCCGAGACCTGTTCCCCATGGACTATCATTGTCTGGGAGATAATGAAAACAGGCCAGTGCGGTGGATGGCTCTTGAAAGCTTGGTTAACAATGAATTTTCCAGTGCTAGTGATGTGGTAAGTTTTATATTTACATTTTCTAAAACAGTATATAGTTATATGGGTTTCTTTCTTTTAAACACCTTTTTCACACAATTTATTCATGGAAAAAAGGAGTTGAATTGACAGTGCTGAAGACTGAAGTCCTCTGTGCATAACATATATATCCAGAACAGCAGCTGTACTTGCTTCCACCACGCACTGCCATGCCTATGGTATCCAGCCCTAACATAGAGGGATCACCTCTTGAACGACAGGATTGTTCACTCCTTTCCCATTGTGGTTTGGCACCTCTGAAATTGCCAGCAAGGGTATCAAGTGTAGTAGTGTGTTTGACCCAGACACTTGTCTCCTAAAGTAGAGGAGGGAACACATTCTGTATATACCACTAAACAATTATGAAATGTTACTGACATTTAGTCACTGCTACCCTTTAATAGCCTGGCTTCTATCTAGAGACTTACAGATGAGCAGAGGACTTGCTGATTAAATCCTGAAACTTTCTAAACAATTCACCTGATTTCAAGAACTGGCATTTTCATGTATTCTATGTTTTCTGTGAATCTAAAATGTACTGTCCCTTCCAACCCTGATTGTAGTGTCCAATGGTAATTTTGACACTGCTTTTCTTGGGTTGTCTTCTCAGAATGGAAGTGTGTGACTGAGCTACAACAGAATAATTTTAGCACACAGGAGCAGTACTGAAAAGTATGCCAGAGTGGTTTCCTGAGCAAATTACCCTGATGGCCTTCAGCTTGTCATACAGCTTGTCTTAATGGTTCAGAATTTATATACTGTACAAACCCTTACATTTCGCATTCCCACTTCCTTGAGACACATTACTTGTGAATTTAATGCACAGGGCATTTAGTGTATAATACATTAGTATTCTTTTTACACTAAGCATCTTCAATACATTCATTACATAGAGCAAGCTATTAAATTGTTGCTCTTATCCCCCAACACAACTGTCCAGTCTGTAAATCCTTGACATATAGATCATACCATGCATTAAAAAAATTCTCCTTTCCAGTTTGAGATCAGATTGCTCTTTTCAGTCTGTCCTGAGTTTTATTGAAGGCCCTGTTCTGAGAAGTGAAAAGAAGCTCTTATGTAATGCTAAGTACCATTCACTCCTGTTGATATCCGTGGTCGTCGTGTGCTGATCAGCTTGCAGGATAAATGCCTTACACCTTTTCCTTCATTAAGACTTTCAACAACCAGAGATATTAGAAAGAACTGTTTTCAACAATCAATAGTAAGAGTGACTCTGGAGAACCTTGGTTAAGATTGTGCAGTAGTTTGAGCACTAGCCATTGATAAACGACACAGCCACGTGATCTGGTTTTCCTGCCATAGGGTAATTTCCATTTAATGATGTTACCTTTACAATTTTGATGCAGTGAGGTGTTGTGCATTTTTTTGAAACCTCATGTCTCATCTGTTTTAGAAGTCTTCTCAAATTTTCTAACGGTGTGTGTACACATAACTCGTATTCCACTGAAGTTTCCCATTCTCTTGCATATTGCCATAGTTCCTATGTTAGTAATCAAGACTTTGAAAAAGGGTCAGCTTTACCTCAGAGTTATTTCTATATTAGCATAAAAAGTTCTAAGTATTTCCTGTTTTTCTAAAAGTCTTGTTGTTTTGTAAATTGAGTAGATTATTATCTGAAATTACAGCAAATCCAGCTAATGCAGGCTTTCAGTGGAATCTGTACAATGTATCCATTTCATCTCCAATATTAAACCTTCACTAGTGTGAACGTGTCCTGTGAAGATCAGACTAGAGGTAAAATTTTCAAGTGTAAGTGACTTTAGCATCTGTGTCCTAAACTTACAATTGGACTTGGGCACTTAAATCACTTAAGCACTCTTGAAATTTTACCCTGGACCAGTGAAGTGCTCTTGGTTAGGAGATACCATGAGCCATGGTGAACATAAAATAGTGCATGTCTTGCCACTTTTGTGTCATGGATGTGTATCGTTTCTAATATATAAAATTGAAGCTGCATGGTTTATACTCACCCCTAGCCACTTGAACATTGTACTTATCAGCTCCACTTCTTCTGTTGAGCCCCTTCCCTGGAACTCCCCAGTCTACAAACACTCCTTTTTATCACTGCTGAAAAATAACAGGGTAGTTAATGAATTTCCTGGCATTGACAGAATTAGAAGCTTATTCTCAGGGGGTGTGAAGAATAATTATAACGGCGCCTTCTAGGCTGAAGTCTGTCCAACAAAATCCGTCAATAGAGCAAGGGGGTCAGAATGTAGTAGGGTCTCTCTCAGAGATCCTACAGATTTAAATGTGCCCCTTTAACATGCAATACATAAATGTTTTGCATTATACAGAATAAATGCAGCTACATTTTAACATATAGTAGATCATGTTGTTAATAAATTGATAGAACACCTCTACCCCGATATAACAGGAATTCGGATATAATGCGGTAAAGCAGCGCTCCGGGGAGGGGGGGGGGGCCGGGCTGCGCACTCCGGTGGATCAACGCAAGTTTGATATAACGCGGCTTCACCTATAATGTGGTAAGATTTTTTTTTTGGCTCCCGAGGACAGCGTTGTATCGGGGTAGAGGTGTACTAGAGCTAACTACTAGAATACTGTAATGTGCCTGAATTAAAATTCCTTCATCATTTTACGAACCTGAAAGGAAAGGCCTATCCACCCTAACTAACTTCCCTCTTAATGTTTACTGTAGTGCTGTTTTACAGATCTATACCCTTCTGTCTGCTCCTCCAAAAACAAACGTTAGGTATCAACTGCATGTAATACATTATGCATAGTGGTATCAGTTGTACACATTTAGGTTTTGTCTGCACTGAGAAAAAGGAATCCGTGCTTTAACAGTTTAAATAGGGTTCAGACACATTATGTTGAACCTGCTTTAGCTGTTTTTCTTTCATATAGCTTAGCTGATTTTTTAAATGGTTCCTACAAGGTTTTTTTTCCCATCCACAGCAGTTAGCCAAAGTGTTGAAAAAAAAAGTTCAGCAAGAGCCATGTTTTTATACTGTTTTCTTTCCAGGATAGATGGGGCCTTTTTCCTTCTTTGTGAATTTTCTGAGACAATATAGTTATAAAATGGGAAACAACTACGTTGTCACTATATAAAGTAGTTTTACTTGAATTATCTGTTTACCCAGTTTCCTAAATTTTAGTTTGCTGCTTATTTCAAAACTCTCACCAGTGTCCATTGACTATCAACCTTTTTGTATTTTTTAAAAACCTGTGTTTACATCCCTGGGCAGTTTTTTGGGCTTGAGGGGCTCAAGCTGCAGAACTGTTTCATTACTGTTTAGACTTCTGGGCTAAGGCTGGAGTCCTGGGCACTAGGACCCTGTGAGGTGGGAGGATCCCAGAGCTCAGGCTCCAGTCTGAGCCCGGAAGTCTACATGGCAGTGAAACAGCCCCATGAGCCTGAGATGCTGAAGGCTGAGGTGTGTGAACCCCTGAGAGTGAGACAACCTGGTTAGAGAAAATTGAGGCAGGAAGTGCCTGCAGTGCCATGTGGTCAGAAGGGGGCACTTCAGGGCTGGCATGCCCTATGATACGTCCGCTGAGCAAAATATAAAGTTAGTAACTAACTCACCAAACCTGTTGAGGGGATTAGATTTTCACAACACTGTGCAAACCAAAGTCCTGTGTAAATATAATTGTTTGTTACATTCTCTACAAAGTAAACTGTACTGTACATTGTTACTTAAACTTAGTGTTTTTAAGGGTTGTGAAATCTTCAGATCAAATACTTTATAGAAAAGCAGCGTTTTATTATCCTATATGCATTTTGTGATTTTATTTGTGTGTTTAAAAGCTTGGTGCTGTCAGAGCTATCTGTTACTGTTGAAAGTTAGAACCAGTTCTTGTTTCTAAGGTTGTTATTCCCATTTAAATGGTCAATGATGCAAATGAGAAAAGTCACTTTCCTATCTTGGGAGAAAATTATAGCAGCACCACATTTAACATGAAAGGACAGGAGTTGCCACATTTATAAAGCTCTTATATCTTCCTTATCAAAAATATGAGGAACACATTAAGTTTAAATAGTTGTTAAGTGTGCATGACTAATTTTGTGAGAGAACTGAAGCTGACAGAGGCCCCAAACCCTACTGTACTGCTAACTTGCTGCTGTATAAAACACTTTTTTTTTCTAGTGGGCATTTGGAGTAACACTGTGGGAGCTGATGACTTTGGGGCAGACTCCGTATGTGGATATTGACCCTTTTGAGATGGCTGCATATCTAAAGGATGGATACAGAATAGCTCAGCCAATCAACTGCCCTGATGAACTGTAAGTGTGGGCTTATTACGAGAGGGGAGAAAGAGTGGTTTTTATTCCACTTTTCAGGAAACATTTTTTAAATTCAGAGCAAGCAGAGAACAGAGGAAGTCTCAATTCAGTCATCCTGACCAGGTTGTGTTAAATGTTCATTTAAATGATGCGTTGTTGTTGTTGTTTTTTAAAGGTCACACTCAGACATTTTTCAAGTGGAATAAGTAAAGAGAACCAGTATTTTTCTTCCACTCTCCTTCCTTGTCTCAGCCTGTCTTCCCCAAATTCCCTTTCTCTGTACCCGCCTACAGAAATTCTTTAAGTAGTGTTTTTAAAGCATTTTAATTGCCACTATCAGATTATCCTAATACTGCTACTGGACTGCCTTTGACTTGTCTATCTCTTGTCAAACCAGATCAACACCTCCAGTAGTAGTACTTTTGCTGGTCACTCCAGATATGCTACTTCTGAAAAAACAATTTGGCACAGTGCCATAAGGTAAAAAAAATTGATGGTCAAAGGGAAAAAAGAAACTTTGCTTGTGGTTGGATCTCTTTACTCAGGTTCTTGACACTTGTGTGTATCATGATTAGCTGTCGTCTTCTGATGTCTCCCCTTTGTTTTTGTCTTCAGGTTTGCTGTGATGGCCTGTTGTTGGGCCCTAGATCCTGAGGAAAGACCCAAATTCCAGCAGCTAGTGCAATGTCTAACGGAATTCCATGCAGCTCTGGGAGCCTATGTCTGAAGCTTCAAGCATGGATTCCATATGCTACTTGGGAAGGGACAGTGCATACACGTCCAGCGCCATGCATCACTTGGACCTACTCACGCACTACGTGTATAAAGCAACGCCAACGGGAGAAAGCACTTCTTCCAAAACACTGTGCCTTAGAATGCTTTTGTAGCCTGACTTTTTTGTAAGACCTCTTGATGTTGAGTATTTTCTAGATATCACTTTTGCTAAGTTAAATTGAGACCGTTTTATTTGCCACCAGGTTTTCTAAAATATTAGTGATAGTGAACTTGAACACAAGAGTTGGACGGACTTTTGCACTGTTACAACAGACACAGAGTTGGTTTTTTAAAGGTTATTTTAGAGCTGGTAGGAAAAGGGGGAAATTATGCAAACAACATTGCAGAGACTTTTCCCTTTTAGAAACTGAAATTTTCTGACCAGCTCTAGTGCTTGATCTTGTATTTATCTGGAATAGCTTTTTAGTATCAACTGCTTTTCTTTTGAGACGATGGCACAAAAACATTGGGTCCATAAGTGGCATCTTATTTTTTAACCCATTCTTCATCAACGGTTCTTGGAAAAGCTGGTCTTCAAGATGCAATATCACCTTTCTAAGACAATAAGCAATTATGTAAAAGAGATTCCAGTTTACCTCGTACAGAGTGGTAAGGATCGGACTGAATGGAGTCTGTTCTTACAAATGAAAGGCTGACATGATTTAAGATAGTTCAAAATACTAAGTAGAGGCCTTCAGAGAAGCACCAAAATAGCCCTTATTTGGGTGCCTTTCACCTCAGATTTCTAGATTGCAGTTTCTCTTGCTGAAAAGGTACTGGTTGTTTTTAGGGTTTTTATGGCCTGAAATGGGCTTAAATACATAAATATATATTTGTAAAGAGACACACTTGCAGAGTAAAGAATGTTTTTCTATTATAATGATTGTGAAAACTTAATCCCTAACACTGGCTAGTGTATCAAGCTTGCAGGTTCTGAAATATATCTTTATTAGGACCAGTTTATGTAGCCCACTGTGAAGGCATTAGATTGCACCTCCCTTGACTGCAAAGCCCAAAGATTCAACATGTATTGTTATCTTACCCACCCCCATCTGCCCCAGACTTCTATGCCACCTCACTGGGGGAGGAGATGGGGATGTTCCATCCTGTCAGTGAGCTGTAAGTAACATCCAGAATATAGGTATGGCTTGTAGGGAAATGGAGGCTGGAGGTTTCCATTGATTCAGCTTGAGGCTAAGAGAGGAGAATTTTCACTTTTTCATGAGATTCAAGCTGCCTCCATTAGAGCTCTCAGGCAGCATGAAGCAGCCTATACTTCAGATCATACAGCACATAAGCACAACCAGCAAGCATCCCACTAGTTTCACTCAATCTTTAGGATGAGAGCCCCATACCCTGAAGCTCCCTGCAGCTGCATGGCCATTGCTGTCAGAACAGGCCCTGTACCTGATGGTTATTGACACCAAGGTTTAGAAATCTTTGATTTACAAGGACAAGAAATTAGACTTGGCTATGATATGTGCAAATTAAAAATTAGAGCAGCCTTTCTCAAACTTCTGAAATCTGAGCCCCCTTTCAGGAAAATAAAACCAGTCTCTCCCCTGCCACGTTAAGGTAGTATCTGGGAAGAGTTTGCGATGCCACTGTATGTGTACCCCTTTCCTCCTCGAGCTGTGCCTTCATACTTTCTACAGCATGTACCCTGTAATTTGGGAAACACGGAGCTAGAAAATTTTAAGTCCCTCAAATAGAAAAGCTGTCTTTATCCTTACATGGAGAGGTCCTCAACCTGTGATCGGAGAAACAAGTCATGTTTCACTCCAAACAACTTTTCCTGATCATTGTAATGAGCTGTAATAATAAATGCTGGCACACCCATTGAGCATTCTGTCTAAGAGATGCTGTAAGAGGTGTGTGGGTTTGAATTGGTTGGAACGCATTTCATATGACTGATTTTACAGTCATATATTTAATTGCTGGGGGGTGGTTTTAAAAACCTTGCCATCCAGACACTTTTGGCGCTTTCAATAGCTGAGATTTTTTAAAAAATCAATATTTGTTTTATGCTGACTCACTTGGTAAAATTATCCAGGGCTGGGCCATTTTTCTACAAATTTCTTTATGAAGAGTTCCACAAAGACACTGTGGTTGTAATGCTCATCTGAGATTACTAAGCAGAGAAAACAGCATTATTTGAAAATGATATACTACTTAGAGTATTGTTTAAAAACAAAACACATTCTAGCTTCACTTTCTGCAGTCATCATTGCTGAGGAATCATTTTATGGATCACTATCTTGAAACAGGTTCTAGCACAGACCATATTTCTGGATTTTCATAATATATTTAAGAAAGTTACTTCATTGAGTGCACTGCTCTGATCATGTACTTCTTGGTGTGCCTCTTTGTGTACATAAAATCCATTCACCTGCAGCAATTAGACATTTAGTTGGGTGAGAGCCATCAACTTTGGGAAATCTCTGATGTCAGTTTAAAAAGTAAAAGAAATCTGACTGCACAGGTGAAGTAAACCTTTCAAAAGGAACCAGAGTTAATTGATGGCAGAGCTGTTGTCTTGAGTTTGCAAACAGCTCTTCTGCCTAAGCTGTAGCAGAGTGAAAGCTGACTAATGTTCTCCCTCTTCCCTGCTACTGTTGGGAACTGGTGTAGGGCAGTGAAACTGCCAAAAATTGGGTCAGTTTCACTCCACTACATCTTAGGAAAGCTCTGAGCAACAGTAAAGGCTGGCACTGAAGCAGAAGGTCCAAAAATATGCTCAAGAAGGGGTAAATGATCAGAAGACCTATACCCACACAGCAGCTTGGACTTGGGGGTTGGACCAGAGACACATGTTCCTTCTCCCTTTCAGCTGCAAGAGGAAAGCTTGTAGGGCTTTGGGTATATGACATTGGCATCATTACAAACAATGGAGCACTAACCAAGATCCAGGGACAAAACTCTGGTAGGTATGCCATCATGCTCATCTTCCCAGCAGGGAAGTGCGCCTGGCTTAATCCCTGGACAAATTCTGCTCCAGTTCTACAACTAATTGATCAATTTTTGACTGCCTTACTTGACTTGATAATCCGTCTGGTGGTGCCTCCAATGATTGCAAACCTCTGAGCAGCTTCTAAAGGCTGCCATGTTTCCTTCCAGTTGTAGAGTTTTCGTTCCTGGCCAAAGACAAGGACAGGTACTTTATTCAGTCCTCTACCACTGAGACGCTGAAGATCTGATCTGCAGAGGTTTATGCTATTGATAAGGGACCTGATGGGGCCTACCACTCATTTCTAGCCTCTGAACTGGACCCTAAAATCATGAATGTGTAGGTCACTGAGTTTTTGCTATTACATACATGGCCTCTATATGCTGGTGTGGTATAGAGGTTTTATCAGCTCTTGTTTGGGGAAAGCTACATGTCCCACTCATGAATAAGGTTAAGATTTTGTCGGATATTTTTAGTAAAAGTCACAGACAGGTCACGGGCAATAAAGAAAAATTCACGGAAGCCCGTGACCTGTCTGTGACTTTTACTAAAAATATCTCTGACAAAATGGGGAGTTCAGCTGTGGGGTCCCCACACTGCCTGCAGAGGTTGGGCAGCTGTGGGGGCTGCTCTTGAGCTCTGGGGGCCCCCACCGCCTATGGGGAGCTTTGAAGGACCCCTGGTCCTGTGGTGGCTTGGAACTCCGGAGGCCCTGCCGCCCTCAGCGGCTCGGAGCTCCCAGGTCCCCCACCCCGCTGGCAGCCAAGAGCTCCGGGTCCCCCGCCCCGCTGGCAGCCAAGAGCTCCAGAAGGACCCACAATCTGCATCAGCCACAGCAGCTCTGAGGGGGCCATCACTGCCTGCGGCAGCTGGGAGCTATGGGGGGGCCCAGCTCCTGTGGCCACTGGGAGCTGCACGGTCCCCCCACCACCTGCAGCTCCCAGCCAACGGCTGAATTCACAGAGGTCACTAGAAGTCACAGATTCCATGATTTCCATGACCTCCATGAAAAAAATCTTAGCCTTATTCGTGAATAATGTGACAGCTCAAATCTGTATACCCCAGATCATCACATCTGTATAACATTTTTTCTGCTCCTGTTCAGCACCACCATTTGAGCCCCTCCACTGGCTCCCTCCATATCAGTATCAAGCGTTAAGGTGAGGCAAAGCAGCTGAAATGCCCATTAGAACTCTGTCTCCACTATCCATTCCTCGCTTTCACCATCTAGCTTTTGCTGCTTCAGTTCATTTCTTAACTTCGTGTACAAACATGAAACAAACTCTCTTCTGTGCTGCTCCTTATGCATCAATTCCCTCTGAACTGATCCACAAAGCCACTACCTTCAAATCTCTCCATGAGACTCATGTCTGCTATGATACCTATAAACCAATGGTGGCATGAATGGCAGATGGGGTTGATAAACACTCATAACTCTTCTTAAAATGCAAATCTTTCTAAAAGTTGTATATATTTGACTTCCCTTCCTCACCCTTTGTGTCATGTCACTTCTTAGCTATCCGTTTTTTGAGCCAGGGACAATGTTTGTCTGTACAGTTCATATCCGAACACTTATCAGGGGAAATTCTATGTTTGCGGGAAAGAAATATTTCCCTAGCAAGTTGTTTCAATTGTTTTATGTTTGAAGCTGCTCAGAAATTGGGAATATTGGGAGTTGTGCCAAAGCCTCACGCCTTACCCACTACTCAGCCAAAAGGAATATGAATGAGAACACACTGCATAGGCACTCTTGTCTTGTCCTTCCTTTCTCTCGCATCCAGTTTACTGAGAGTTGTTCTTATCTCTGCTCATTAGAAGGGAGCATATCCGCTTTAATGCCTTTTCTGCATTAAAATGTTTAGTATTACCGTATCGCCTAGGAGCCCTAGTCATGGCTGAGGACCCTGTTGAGTACAAGCACAGAACAAAAAGATGGTCCATGCCCCTGAGAGCTCCAATCAGGGTATATGATGAGATGACAGATGGAGTATAAGGAAACAATGAGACAATATTGGTCAGCAGGATGGGCATTGGTCTCAGCTCACTAGTAGCCTAACCCTCAAGTTTTTTGTAGGCATCACGGCAAAGGAGAATAATGAGGGTTTCTGAAGGAGGATAATTAAAGTAGCTTCACAGATGTTTACAGTCAGCCCCTCTTGTATGAGGAAAAAGTGTGAAGGTTACTGTTTGAAAATGTAACAAGTGGACACTGGAGGCAGGAGTTGATATCTCAATATTGAATGAGATATAGGTCCAGATAGCCCCTGAATAGCCTTGAAAGTGAAGACAAGTTGTTTATGTTTAATTCAATAGAGAAGGGGGGGATCAATGGAAGAATGTGGAAGAGGGGTGACATGGTCAAAGCAATGGGTCAGGAAAATTATCTGAACAGATACGAGTGGGGCAAGATTGCATTTGTCAGGGCCAGAGAGAAGAAAGTTGAAGAAATCAAGAGAATGAGAGCCTGGACAAGTTTTAGCTATGTAAGTGGTTAGGAAAGACCTGTATCTTAGTGATGTTATGCAGAAAGAATCAACAAGATTTGGGCATAGCCTGGATATGAGGACCTACAGAGAGGTCCAAGTTGAAGTGACGCCCAGGTTACGGGCCTG